GGGGGAGGGTGGGAAAGGCAGCCACATCGTGTTTGCTCTTGTAAGCATGGCTGATCGAAGGAAGCTGGGCATGGTGGGTTGTTCTTGTTGGACTGTAGGATTTGCTTGCTTACAGGTGATGTGCAGGTGGTGTTGGAGGTAGAGGCCCCTCAACTCCACACGTTTCAGCATATGCTCAGAGGCCAATGCTGTGAGCCAGGCGTAGTACTGGACTCTCCAAGACCCTCTAAGTGATTCAGAATCTTCATGGGATTGAAGAAAAGAAACTGCCATTATCTAAAAGTGACTTTATATAAATCCTTCGCCCAACTTCTTAAACTAAAGGAGTACCATTTTGCAGATGAAGTTATGAAGGCTGATAGAAATGAAGTGACCCCAACTACTGCCAGAATTTGTTTTCATGTCTGTATGACATCTAAGCCCAGGCCCATTCTACCACCAGATCCTAAGTCCACTTCGGGAATCTATTCACAAACGAGAGAGAAAGGAGATAGGAAAGACTTATTCAAACTGGGTAGAATTGGACTGGCATCATGGAAGAAGTGGGTTTTGAACTGGGCCCCTTGTCTCCTCATAGTCCTTACTATACACACACGTACATGCACAGGAGATTTGAGAAAGGTAGCAGTTTCTGACCACCTGAGTTCAATCCAGCATCCTGCCAGCTCCCTGGACACCTTCCCCAAGTGGGTGGATTCTCAAACTGCTGTCTTCCCCCTGAGGTCATGGACTCAGCAGAACTTTCCCAGCAGCTGCTTTTCCCAGCTACATTTTGCCTCCCAATGATCTGATTTATGTGAAGGCCCTGGGCGCCCTCTGCTGGCGGAGGCCCTGCAGGACGAGGCATCACTGAGGCGGCCGGCAAGGGACCCAGGACCTGGGAGACTGTAATAGTTGTAATAGTTACTCAGGGCTTCAACCTCCCCTGCCTTTCTCCCTCCCAGCCGAGTGCACTAGCCAGTAACTCCCTCCATTCCATCTTATCCCTCCTCATGTGCTTCCTCAAATCCCTCCCTGCTTCCTGGAAGCTCAGAGGGAAAACCTTCATCCAAGAAGGGGCGCCAGGGCCAGGCCCCTGTCTCCTGTGCTTCCTTCCCCTGTTCATTTGGGGTCACATTTTCTTATAGAACAAAAGCGATTTGGCCAGAAAGCAGAGGCATTGGAGGACAGGAAGGTGATCGGAGCCAGGGCAGTATTATCTTCCCTACCCTGCACTTAGAAATAGGAGATTTCCATAGGAGATTTCAAATGGAGACTCCTGGATGGGGAAGTGAAAAAGGGTAGATTTGCCCTCAGAATGTGTTTACCAAATACACTCGGCGTGGAAATCCACAAATATAACTTCATCTTGTGCAACCTCCATTTCCCAGTTGCTTAAATGGAGGGGGGAGTATAATCACACTCAGCTCGTGACGTTGACATAAAGATCCGGGAGGTCACATTGAGCACAGAGCCCTGGTGCAGTCAGGTTGCAATGAACCTGAGGCCTCTTCTCTTAGCAGCAGCCTAACTGGGCTCAGTGCACCCATGGGTGCTATGCCCTTCCTACTTGGACACCCTGTATCTACTGTGGAGAGGACTTTTAGCATCCTGCATCTGAGCAGGATGCAGGAATGTGGACTCTAGGGCTGGATTATCTGAGCCCTCCCACTTCCCAGCTGCACAGCTCTGGGTGTTGATACAACTCCTTTGTGCCTCATTTTTTTAATCCTTAAACTGGGGATCTTCACAGCATCTACTTCATAGGATTGGGTGAAGATTAAATGTAAAATACTTAAACTGCCCCTGGTGCATAATAGGTGCTCAGTAAAGTCATGATTACTCCATTAGGCAGGCTGTGCAGCTTTTTTGATCCCCATTTTCCAGACAAGAACATTGAGTTTGGGGTCCTTTCCTCCAGGTTACTCAGCTAGGAAGCCGGGTGGGCAGAATGGAAACCCAGTGTCCAGAGCCATCACCACCTCCCAACACCTGGTCTCTCCTACCCAGAAAACAAGTGTGTGGGTCTCACAAGGAAGGGACTCTTGCACAGAAGCCCCCAAGCCCATCTAGATCCTGATAATCGGCTCCAGTGACTGAATTTCACGGCTGATTTCTATCTCCCTGGATAGGCTGGGAACATATGGACAACAAGAAATGAATCCAGTCTCTCTCTGTGTCAGTAGTAGCCAGCCCTCAGCTCCTCCCCGAGTACGTGCTCAGCAGGTGCTTCTTAACTGGAGAGGGCCTGGAATACTCCTCCATCCCACCACACAGCTGAGGAAAGATGGCAAGGGAGGCATGAGGAAATTCCGTCCCTTTAGCTCTGGCTGCTGCTGCATGACACATGGTGGCACTTCCATTACCCAGAAGGCTGTCTTTTCTATTCACATTGCTTTCCATGCCCTCAGACTGGCAGAAAAACCCACAAGCAACCACCTCGGTGGAACCCAGGTTCACATCTAACCACAGGCATAAGCAAGACTGGTTCTACAGATAGACATGCCGCCCACCAAAGAGCTTGCTTAAATGGCAGGTGTAGACCTAGAAACTCACCACGATGCATAATCATGTCCTGGGCAAGTAGCCCCAGACGGAGCCAAACTGGGTTCCAATGGGGGACCCTTTCAAATATGTCTATTAGCTATCCCTGTTAACTCAGAATCTCATTGTCACTCATATTATTTAAAGATAATAATATCCACCTTGGGGGGGGTAATTCATGTGAAGGTTAAATGATAAAATTTATATTTAATCCTAGCAAATTAGAAGGATGCTGTAAATAATAGAGAGGACAGTGACAAAGACAGTGCTGGTGATGCTGGGGACGCTGCAGATGGTCATAATGTCACCTCCTCTGGACGCAGACGTGGAGAACATGTTCTCTAAACGGATGACTTGGTGATGAGCCTCCAAGGTGCCTGGAGCATGGAGTGGAGAGGTGTAGGACAGACAGGAAGGTGACCCAGGCCACCTGACACTGTCACAGCTGCTTTTGAACAGCCTGAGGTCCGGGCTTCAAAGGCACTGCTTTGGTGTCGCGTATTTTCCTGTTCATCTTTATGATTTTCATTTCAAGGTTGCCCCTTCCAGGTGGCAAAATGAAGTGGTAAACATCCTCCTCCTTTTGTTCTTTTCCTCCCCCTCCCCCTCCTTCTCTAAATTATAATTAGTGTCTCTAACTCGGAGCATCTCTGACTATGAAGTGACCTCCCAAGTTAGATTTAATGCGGACATGCCCTTCATACCGTCCATGCCAACCGGTTATCAGGGTGCCTGCTTGCACACCCCAGTAACAGCAAGCTCCCCAACTCTCTCAGCAGGCTGTTGGGATTGAGCGAGGTCTGTCGTCTAGAGGAATGGAGCCTCCCTGTTCTGCTCTGTCACCCCTGTCCTCTGTTGAGGGCTCATTCCTCCAGGGGTCTGACTTCTGTTTCCTGGGATTAACCCTCAGGACAGGGATGGAGGGAGGCTCCTAAGAGGTTATGGCAGGGGAAGAGCATTAGCCTGGGAATCGGGAGACTGGAGATTGAGTAACCCACGGGTTATCATGAGCAAGTCACTCCCTTCTCCAAGCCTCAGTTTCTCCATGTGTCAAATATCTCTCAGGGTCCTGCCACCTTAACCAACGTCTACTTCTCCAAGCCTTCCTTCCCTAGTCTTGGTCTTCAAACACTCCAGACTCTTTAGTTCTCTCCCATCCTGGTCAACCTTGTTATTGCCTGTGCACAGGACAGTCACCAGCCAACTATGCCGTTTCTAGAGCACCGGAGGATGTCTTCAGCAATGGGCAGCTTTATTCCCTTAAGTGTCTACAACAGCCCTGAAATCTCGGTCTACTTTATCGACAAGGAACCCGAGGTTCCAAGAGATACAATAGCTTGCTGGGACACAGGCCGTCAGTGGTTGGGCCAGGATTTAAACCCTGTCATGAGCTCCGTGTCCTCAGAGCTGGGATTCTGGAAGCCAGAGGGGTCACAGGAAGCCACCCAGCCATGAGTGCTTCTGACCACCAGCCACCTGCCCCCTGGCCCTGCAGCCCCCAGCGGCTGCACTTGCTCCTTCAACGTGGCGGTCTCTCTGCTCCTCTCCGCAGGGAGAACAACTTCATCAAGGACTTCCCGCAGCTGGCCGACGGGCTGTTGGTGATCCCGCTACCGGTGGAGGAGCAGTGCAGGGGGGTCCTCTCCGAGCCCCTCCCGGACCTCCAGCTGCTCACTGGTAAGACACACGTGCCAGAGCTTCCCCAGGTTCCCTGAGTGCACGCCTGGCCTCCAGGTGGTATCAGCAGACCCTGAGGGACCCAGCCAGACCTTCTCCTTCAAGAGGATGGGGTGGGCTCCATTTCTCGGGCTCCACTGCAAGCAACGTAGAATGGGGGGCTTTGCTGAGACCAGGGCTCTGGGCCAGAGCAATCTTCAAGGTCAGGCAGGCGCCTCTCTGAGAATAGGAACGACCTTCAACCATTCTCACTGAGGCCTTTGACGCCGTGTCCATCAAAACCTGTTCCACTCTTCTGGACGATTTTCTGATTTGTGTTTTCTATTACCTTCAGTATTTGTTTTCTAGGCTCCGTTTTAAATCCTTCTAACATGAAATCAGTGTACTATCCCATAAGAGCCCCTGGCTCCTGAAAGCACTGGATTTTGCACATGAACCAACTGGTTTTTGCAGATGAACCAGAGCCATTGAGTGTAATTTCCCCATTTGCCAGATAAGGAATGTAGGCTCAGAAAGGTGAGGACCAGCTGAAGGTGACACAGCATACGGCCAGGACTAGACCCTGATGCCACAGCACCAAGTACTTTGTCCTTTCCACTCCATTCCCAAACCTCTCTCCCCCTGCTTACTGGAAATATGTCTTATGTGAGTTCTCCTGAGGCTTCCCAATTTTTTGCATCATTACAGATTGCCTTTCTACTCCTTCTTGTCTTCCTCTCCTGCTTATATGATGGGGGCTTTCCTAAGCTATTGGGCGGCACCCACTTTGTAAGGAGAATGGTCATCCCAGTAGATAAAGGAGCTCTCTCACGTAGGTGGTACTTGGGCCCCAGGGAAGACCCTGCAATGTGGCTGACTTGGGTTTTGAATCCTCCCTATCACTTGCAAAGCTCTGGGAGACCTTAGGCTAACTTCTGTTGAGCTGTCAGGTAAAAGGCATAGCTAGAGGAGAACGTGCACCTGGGGGCAGGGCCTGCTGGGGGCCCAGGCCTTTTTGTGCATTGTCCCATGTGTAAGTTCTCCAAGGCCACCTGGCTGTCTACAGATATGTCGGGGTTGAGCCTAGTCTTGTTTTATCTTCTATCTTATATCACCTCCCTGACCTGTCCTACTTCAAAGAGGGACCCAGATCCAGACCAAATGAAATCCCAGATGGAAAAGTTCTTGGTAAAATGTGCCTAAAAACTTCTATGCCTTCCTTCATATTTTATTTTTGCTAAGATCATAGAATTTCTGAGCTGACGTGGACTGCCACTTACATTCCATGTTCACTCAGTAAGTGAATCTCCCGTACTGATGAGGAACCAAATCTGCAATATCCCTGCTGAGGGACTGTTCCTCTCTGGATACCCGCAGTGGTGGGCAGCTTACCACCTCTCAGAGCAGACTTCTCCCTCGTTCATGGGGAGGCACTGTGCTCTAATAGAAAGGCCCCTGGAACAATCCTTGACCTTTGTATGTCTTTGGTCAGTTTCCTCCATTTGAGTCTTAGTAACCCTTTCTAAAAAAATGGGCTAAAACAAAAATTTCAGGGTTATGGTGAGAGATGGAGTTTATGCACTTAAACTGCTTGGTTCGCTATGGCTCTCTGGTAGTGGCATACCCTTTTATGATTGTTTTGACTCAGGGATCTTTGCAAGTTTCCTAATAAAGGAACAGTTGAAGTTTAAGAGTCATTATTATTATTATTATTATTATTATTATTATTATTATTATTATTATTTAATGGTCAAGAAAGATTCCTCCCCCACCCCAGAGCTTCATTCCATCCCTATCCCCAAGGACCCCAAGGACCCCAGGACCTGGAGCAGATTAGGTAAGAAGGTAGCCAGAAGTAAGAACCTGGATTGGGTTTATGACCAGGAATGGAAATGAAAGTGTTGTCAGTCAGTCACAGCCAACATGTAATGACTGAGGGGCTTCTATGTGCCAGAGTCTCCTCTAGACTTTACAGATGATGGGAAAATAGTACAGACCACAGCCTTGGCCACAGGAGGCTGACATTCCATTGGAGAATATTCCAGGCTGAAATGGAGGAAGGACCAGGGAGTTAGTAAGGGACGCAGCAATGACCTTGGCCTGTGTCCGAGTCTTTTTGTGCAATCTGTTTTCTCTGCCCTAAGTCAGAAACCCTGTCCTCCCCTCCACACCACCCCACGTTCCCACTCTCCTTTTCTCCCCAGCCTATGCAAAGGAAGGACAGGAGCAGCAGAAGAGATAAACAGAGGACAAATTGATAATCAAGCCACCTTGCTCCAGTGGACATATCTTTGGGATCATGAATATTTTACTTTAAAATGAAAGCCTCTACAAAAATTATATTATTCCTGAAAAGGCTAAGGAGGAAAGAAAAAGTTGCCAATAATGAACAACTTTAATACTGTCGTAATGTCCAGGATGAAATCATTTGTTCCAGTGAGATTCTCATTTTAATCTTGGTATCGAATATCTCTTTAAGTGCCTCCTCACCAGGGGACAAGACAAGAGGATAGGAAATGTGTCTGTTATTTGCAGAGGCATAAGAAAGCATGGAGACATAACAACAATAATAAAAACTGCTGACGTGCCCAGCATTTCTTTTCTAATGCATTTTTCCCCCAGATTATAAAGAAGAGTTTGCAAAGCTTAGGGTAGAAACTTTAGAAAATTGGAAATGAATATAAGACAGAAAGCAAGAATTTTGCACACACCCACTACCAAAAGTTCACCATTTGTTAATATTTTGTTGTGTTTTCTCTTTTTTTATGTGTACCTATATTTCCCAAATGAATTCTATGCAACTTCAGTCCTAGAACCCCTCTATGTGAAAGGAGTCCCATGATCAAAGAAGTGTGCACAGTCCCTTCATGGAGCATGAAATGCATCTATTAAAGGTGCTGAGGAATTCGTTTGTTTAGCCAATATATCTCACTCTTCTTTGAAATGTACATGTCCATGTCAAGAAATGGTGGTCTAGCCAGGTACAGTTGTGCACTCCTGTCATCACAGTGACTTGGGAGGCTGAGGCAGGAGGATTTCGAGTTCAAAGCCAGCCTCTGCAACATAGTGAGGCCCTAAGCAATTCAGTGAGACCCTGTTTCTAAATAAAATATTAAAAAGAGCTGGGTTTGTGGCTCAGTAGATAAGTGCCTCTGGGTTTAATACCTGGTACAAAAAAAAAGTGAGAAAACTCTTCTTTATGTTCTGGGAAAAAATACATTAAAAAAGAAATGCTGGGGGCTGGGGTTGTGGCTTAGTGGTAGAGCACTCACCTAGCATGCACGAGGCACTGGGTTCAATCTTCAGCACCACATAAATGTAAAATAAAGATATTGTGTCCACCTAAAACTAAAAAATATTTTTTAAAAATTTTAAAATTTTAAAAATTTTAAAAATTTGCCTCTGCAAATAACAGAAAAGAAACAGTGGTCTACACAGGAGTCAACCAACATTAAGGCACAGATAATAAAGGTGTTGGGCTTTTCCAGTGGTCTCTGTGCAGCTGCTCAGCTCTGTTACAGTTGGTGCAAGAGCACCAATGGACAGCAGGAAATGAACAGGCTGAAGTTGGCAGAGCCCTGGTCTCCCCTAAGGGACTATCTAGGTTACCAAAGGACTTCCACCTCTGTTACTGTCTTCACAACGTGCCTAAGAGACAAGGTCTGCAGAGACAGCTGCAGGGTCACAGGAGAAACGGAGACACACAGGGATGTCTAGTGTCCCGAGGCAAATTGCCAGTGGAGTTAGGTGGGATGTAGAGCTGACCTGAGATTGCTCTTTAAACGGGAGGAAAGGAACTTTCGAGCAAGAGAGAATAGTAAGATCTGGAGGTGGGTCCCAATTAAATGAACGTCCACTCAAGTCCAAGTCTCTGCTCACTGAAGAGGTGACCATAAACCGAGCCCAGAGCTTGGGGGCGGGCGCTGAATGCGAAGCAGCTGAATTCCAAGCTCACGTGGCATCTTCTTTCTTCCCCCAGGAGATATCAGGTACGATGAGGCCATGGGGTACCCCATGGTGCAGCAGTGGCGTGTCCGCAGCAACCTCTACAGGGTGAAGCTCAGCACCATCACCCTCTCGGCAGGTGAGGAGCGCCGTCGGGGCAGCCAGGGGACTTGGAGTGATTCGACACACGTTCCCAAGGACCTCGGGTGTGCCAAGCCCTGTGCTGGCCCTGGGGATGCCGAAGGAGCTGCCGGGGAGGGCAGGTGGACAATGCCATTGACACACAGCAGTCAGGTCAACACAGTAAAGGACAGCTGTGGGACACAGGAAGCCAGAGAGGCTTCCTGGAGGAAGGGGTGTCTGTGGGTGTGGAAGGATGAACAGGGAGGAGGATAACCAACACTCGTAGTCGTTCGTGTGTGTTCTGGAAGTATTTGAGGCTTGTGGCTTGTACGTTCTCCTCTGGCACCAACGCTTCTCTCTCTGGGCTGATTTTTTTTCCTGTCCCTCTCTCACCCTACCCCACCCCACCAACAGGCACCGCCCACTTTATCTGCATGAACCTTGGCTCCAGCAGAGGGGCAACTTGAACTTCTCAAAATGAGACATCTTTTTTCATGACTGTGATTTTGCCCTTGCTGTTCCCTCTGCCTGGATCCCCTTCCCTGGGGACCCAGATTAAATACTCCGATGCCCGGTCCCCCCTCCCCTTCCCCCAACACCTCCAGGAACCCTCTGTCCTTGAGCCCCTGTGTGGGAGTGCTCACGAGTACTCCATCCCTGAACCATGGACCTGAGACCCGGGTGCAGGGTCTGGGGCTTGTTTATTGCAGTCTCCCCGGAAACTATCACGCAATGAGGTCATTGTTCATCTGTGGGATTCACGGAAGAATTAAACAATAAATCAATCAACACCAGAAAATAAGACACAACTGAAGGACTCGGGAATGATGAGCCCTGGCCTCAGGTTTGCTCCCCTGGATCCTATTTGTAACACTGTCACAGGCTTCTTGTCTGTGTGCCTGCTAATTATCCATGAGTTCTTATCTTTTTAAATTTCTTTCCCTTTTTCAATATCACTTTGTTCACCAGCAAAATGGAAGTCTTTTAATTGGGAATTTGAGGACTTCACCCTCTTGGAAGTACAAATGGTAATTATTGCTGACATCTGTCAAGCACTTTATAATGTTTCATGTCTTGTGACTTACAGCAGTCCTATAAGGAAACGTAATTTATCCTATTTTTCTTCAGCTAAGGAAACTGAAGGTCAGAGAGGTTAAGTATCTAACCCAAGGTTGCACAGCTTGTAAGTGGCAGAACCAGGAGCAGAGCAGGGATTTGAGTGTCTCTTTGTCTGCTTGGATAAAGATCCACAAGGCTTCCCCAAGGTGTTATTTATTACTTAACAGAAACTATCTCATTATTAATACTGCTGTATTAATTACCCAGTCATATGAGTTAACAGGTTGATGGAGAGAGGTTGTTCTAATCAAGCGCCCATTCTTTGGGCCCTGTTTCTGTTTTCCCCACCCCCCCCCCACCTTGCACTTGTGAATATAACTGTGATGTTCCTAATAGAACTACAAAGATGTACCTGCTTTAATTAATCAGTAACGATGCTCCTGGAAGCCCCCTTATAAATCAAAATGTTGGCAAATTGAAGCTCATTTTCAGTGTTGGAGAGGCGCTTGCTCTTTGATGTGGTGCAGAATCCGTTGTTGTTCTTTTAGTGGTTGTGGTTGGGGTTCTTGCTGTCTTCCAGGAAGGCTGTCCGTGTGCCTGGTCGGGGTGGGGTGTAGGGAGCAGGCTGTGCCGAGTCACAGGTCAGTGAGGCGGGGCTTCTGCCTGTTGCAGGGCCCGGAGGGGGTGCTCCTCCCCAAGAGGAAAGGCTTCCTGGAGAGGGGTGACCTCTGGGGCCTCGGAGCATGGGTCTGACCTAGGGAGGAAGCAGGAGGTGACTTCGGGTATGTGAGGGGGTAGGTTTGGGGGTAGTGAGTACCCAGAGGAAGAAAGGCGGGTGGAAATCCCAGCTCACACTTGGGACAGATAAGAAAAGTGAACTGGTTGGTGCAAAAATCCCGTGTTTGTGGCTGCTGGGAGATGACCTGAATGCCCAGATGAGGTCAGTGGGCTTGATCCCATCAGCTTCAGCTCGGGAAGGCTGTGAGCAGGAGATGTAGGAACTCTAGAGGAGGGGTAGTTGGCAGATGCAGGGGATCAGAGAGCCCAAAGGACAGACAGGAGCCTGGGACAAAGTCTGCCTGGTCTTGGGTGCAGTGTCAGCTCCGGCCTCCTTCCCGCCATGTGTGCCAGTGATGCTGGGTTGATGGCGCTGGAGAAGGAATTCGCAGCATTCAAATATTCTCAGAGGATGCAGCCACTGACGTCTGTAGGAAAGTTCAGAGAACACCCGTCCCTGCTTTGGTGGCCCCCCGGGTGCTCTTTGAACTACAGAGCAACATGTTTTGGGGTATCATTTTCTTAGCTCCACATTCCCCTTTCTGAAACTTCCCTAGCAGTTTCGAAACAAGGGGTTCAGCCAGTCTCTAGGTGGCAAGGACTCTCACTAATCAGCCTCCCATTGCTGAGCATCCCTGGCAGGTGGCTTGCTCACGTGCCTGTTGAAGGAGGAAGGAGAGCAGCTGTTACTGAGTGACTGCTGAGCAGGCCCTGTGCCAGGTGCTGAGGACTAAGGACTAAGAAATAGAGCCCCTCTGTGGCGATACAGGGAGAGAGGAGACACTGCTGCATCAGGAGGCCAGGGCAGAGGTCAGGTCCCTGGCCAGAGAAGATGCAGAGCCTGGGTGAATACAGATGCAGAACTCCAGCTGTGGGCAGTTCAGGCCCTGGTTTACTTGGTGCACACACTTGGGAGAGTACACAGAAGTGGGTTTGCACCCAGCTCCTCTAGCTGGAGCATCAAGACAAGTCATTTACAATCTCTGGGGTTTGACATGCTCATCTGCTCAATGGGGGCTGTTATCAAGGATAACAATGTTATGGCAAAGATTAAATTAGATTAAAAGGGTAAATACATCTAATGGTGTGCCTAGAACGCATTCTTTGCTCAATCAATAGACACCAGATTTGACTTTCTGATTGTGACATTAAAGTCACCACTGTGGCCTGGCACCATGGCGCATGCCTGCAATCCCAGCAACTCGGGAGGCTGAGGCAGGAGGATCTCAAGTTCAAAGCCAGCCTCAGCAACTTAGCGAGTCCCTGCTCAGCAACTTAGTGAGCCCTGGGATCCATTCCTGGTACCAAATAAATAAATGAATAAATAAAGTTATGATCATGTAGATGACTGAGTTTTGGCCCTCCTTTTCTGTAGAGTCCCTCTTGAGAGCGCTATGTATGTGAGGGAACGATGTGAATGTTCCGACTGATGCAGCCAGCAAGCTGCCACTGTGGTCAGTAGTAAGGCACCAGATCCAAGCTGGAAAGGGCCCCTGCCATTGTGTCATTTGTGGCCACCTTCCTCTGAAGTCTGACCACCTACACATTGCTGTCCTTCCCGACAGGCTTCACCAATGTCCTCAAGATCCTGACCAAAGAGAGCACTCGGGATGAGCTTCTGTCCTTCATCCAGCACTACGGCTCCCACTACATCGCAGAGGCCCTCTACGGCTCAGAGCTCACCTGCATCATCCACTTCCCAAGCAAGAAGGTCCAGCAGCAGCTGTGGCTCCAGTACCAGAAAGGTAAGCCTGGAGTGCTGGCTGGAGGGGGCAGCTGAGCTGGTGCAGAGGGAAGGTGACTGGGGAGACCACTGAGCTTCCCCACGTCCAAATCTACTACGTAGAAGCTGTGTGTCACAGGCAAGTCCTTGTCCCTCTCTGGGCGTCACTTTCATCACAGGCAGAGGTGGGTGATGTTTTCAGGATTCTTACAGTTCAGGCATTTTCTGAAGCGCCAAGTTGACGTTCTGGGCTGCATCAGTCCTGACTTCTGCAGACCCTGTTACCCTTCTTTCTCCTTCAAACAACGGCTGGGGCTCAGAGCAGGGAATGGGTGTGGAATCTCCTTGACACCTTCCTCTCTCTGGGCTTCTTGGGAGAACCCAGGAGCGGCTCCAAGTCCTCTGGAAGAGACCACATCCAGGAGGGCACGTTCAAGTCTCTCTCCATGCAGGATCATCAGATCTTCTTTCCCTCAGATGTTCAACTATTATCAGACCTAGAACTCCCCAGACCAGGGGCAGGAGACTAGTTTCTGCCATTCACTTTGTGGACGTTGTCCCCTCCCCAGCTCAATTTTCCCTTCCTATGAAATGGGACCCTAATTAGCTATTCTTGTCCACTTCTCACATTAAAGGGGAGAGTGATTTTTGGAATAGCATTTTGAGAAAATTAGATACATTGAAAATGTGGATACATGTGTTTTAACAGATCAAATACATTCATCCCTCCATATTTCACACGTGAGAAGTTGAATCTCAAGACATGCAAATCGAGAGCCCAAGGACGCAGAGCTCATAAATAGGGGCAGTACCAGAAGCCCCGTGCTGGCTGCAAAAGCCCTCGTCCTTTCCCTCTTCTGACTATACTGAAGTGCTTCATGCTGTAATTAGTACTGTTAGCAGCAGCTAATTGGAAACAATGAGGAACGATGCTTCACCCTCATGCTTGCGTCTTCTGCATGGGGATCAGCCACCCTGTCTCCAAGAACTAAATCAGTCTCAACTCACAAAACCACAGAATATGAGCACTAAAGGGACCTTAAAGGTCTCAGTGGGCTCAGCACTCCAGGTTTTGCATGGGGGAAATTAAGGCTGTAAGAGAGCAGGAAACTTACTTCAGATCACACTGTTCCACTCATCTGCCCAGGAGGATATTCAGACCCCTTTGTACTGCTTCTTGGCTTCTGTACATTCCTGAATGGATGAAGCCCTTGTCCACCTGTCTTTGCCATCTCCAGAACCTTCCCTTTCGCCTTGGGGGCTTCACATCCCCAGTCATGCTTGCTCTCTTGCTTGCTGCCCGTGTGCAACTGTGTGGGGCTCGGGTGGTTTATAGGCAAGGGGACATAATTGAGTTGTCTGGGAATAGCTCGGTTTTATGGCTGTGACAATGACAGTCTTTAAGGAAGTGCATTAAATCAATAGAAGTCTCATTGCGCTACCCTATAAATAATGTGACACATCATTAAGCAGGGCAATAAGCTTCAGGACTTCGAAGTAATACAATTAGGTTATGTTTATAAAAACCTTCGCTCACAGTGGCCACTGAGCTAATTTGCTTCATGCCACATTCAGGGCCTGGGACACTCTCTATGCTAAATGTCACTCCATCTTCATCCCTGGTTGTTTCCAGGGCTTAGACTTTCTCATTCTAGAAAATTCCATTTCTTATATAGTGGCTAGATGGAATTGTCACAAGTAAGATGGGAGAGGGGGTGGGAAGAATGCTAAACTGGTAGCTGGAGGGCCTCCTTCATGGCCTGGCTTTGCCATAAACGTTCTGGCTTCACGTGGTGTTGTGGCTTTCCCTCTCTGGTCAACTAGACTACAAAAGCACCTTTATTCCTTACATGATCTGTAATTAATCCCAAGAGGCGTACAAGGATACCTCAAAACCACCTTGACCATTGTCCTCTCCATCTTCACCTGTGATGAGCACCTAGAAGGTACATCAGACACTGTCTTTATTTTTTATTGTTGAGAGTGATGCTAGGAAGTGAGGAGGTGAGAAATGGAATTTTCCTCTGCAGAACTGGAAGAACCCTTTGGACCTGGAGACAATCAGTGTCCCTTCTCTCCCAACTCATCAGTTATGTGTCATAAACATCTGCTAAACAGTGGAACCCAGACCGGGATGAAATGTGGGGTTGGAGCTGATAATTCTGGAGCTTTGGGAAGAAGAGTGGAGTGAGGTGCCAAAGTGGGGCAGCTGGGGGTTCACGTCTGAGCCCCCTTCTTCCACCCCTGCCAGATGACCTTTGGGCAAAGTAACTTCTAATTTCATTTTCCTCGTGTGTGAAATGAGGAATGATAATTCCTTTGCATGGCTTTTGGGAAATGAACTGAGATAACACAGATAAAATGCCTGACCCAGAGTAGGTGTGTGAAAAATGGTAGCTTAAAAGAAAAATCATGAGCGTTGGCTGAGGATCCTAGCTCTGGACCCAGCCCTTTCTAATAATGTATGACCCCAGCCCTCTCTTCTCCCTGTGATTATATATGCCTCTGGAAGGGACGGTCTCTGCAAATGTCTTTTCAACTCAGTAGACAGTGGGGGGTAGAAGGATGCTAAGACTCTTTAAAATCCATGAAATCTGAACCTTAAACAGTAGTTTCTCTTTGACTGGAAGCACTAACCTTGGAAGAGTTGGTCTGGGGAAAATAGGCCAAATAGGACATGGAAAATCATCTTAGAGATCTGATTGGCCCTCCACAGTTAAAAGATGGCCTTCCTGTGATTCTCCCATCTGCCCCCACATCAAAGAGGGCAAGAGTGCTTATGCCTTCATTTAAAAAAAAAAAATTTATTAGTACATTTTAATTTCCAGAATAAAGGGTTTTCTCATGACATATTTTTCTATGTAAGTAATATACTTCCTTCATAGAGGGGAGACCTGGGGCTCAGAGAAGAGAAGGGGCTTTCCTTGTCATCAGGTTCATCAATGAGGGAGATGGAGGTTGGATCCCAACCCGAGCCTAGAGCTTCCTTCCCCATAGACCCAGCATCCCTCAATACTGGGAACAAATGTCCCAGATTTCCAGATTTACTAATGATGGGCCCCTGGCTGCGATTATGATGCAGAGACAGCCAATGGAAACTACTGGAAAGCCAAGGGAAATGGGTGAATGTGCCTGATTAAAATATGTCCCATGAGAGATCTTCCTCTCATTCCCTTAAGGGCTTCTAAGTGTGCATTCCATAGGAGAAAGAAAAATTCATGCTTATCATTCATTTGTTCTTTGGTTCACCGAGCATGTCTCAAGTGTTTCCTCTCTGTGCACCTGGTGGGTGCTGGGCTTCTCAGTAGGTAAGATGTAGGCTCTTACATCTTACCTACTGAGTCGTTCATCGCCAGCCTACTTCATTCTCTCAGCAGGTCATCATTTACCTTACAGGTTCTTAAAACGAATTGGTAGACAACTGGGAAGAGGGAAGGAGCTGATACACGGTAGGACACCTAGTCCTTATCATGTTATGGCCTGAGCTTTCACTGGAGAGTGGCTTGTCTAGACCAGGGTGGAGGTCATTTGGATCCTTGAGAAAGAGCTCAGATCCATTGTGGTATCTGTTCTGGATACAGAAGGGCGTATGGTGGTCCATAATCTGTGAATTTCCTTCTCAGTAATAGAGAAAAACTAAAAGTTAGAATATAGACGTCTAGTTTCTGATGCTCATTCCATAGGGCATCTCAGGCATGCCAGGAATGACTAGAGAGATTCAAGTGAGCAGGAGGAGTTTTCTATTATTAGGTGGAGACTCTGGGCTTTCCACTAGTCCTGGGGAGACTGGAGCACTGGATGGCTCAATAAAGTGGAAGCTGACCTAATCCAGGACAGGGTGGGCCTCAGGAGCCAGGCAGAGTGGCTGAAGTCATCCCTGGATGCTCCAGGTCCCAGCCCTGAGGAGCATGGAGGCTGTTCAGTCTGCCAAGACACTCCCCAAGCACCCTGTCAAGTTCCCAGTGTCCTGCCCCAGGGTGAGACTTGCACCGTATGCTGTTATGCTCTTGATAGTTCTGTATTTTGGAAAGTTACCTTTCTCCTGATTGAGACTCCTTTTTGTGCTTTGGCTTGATAATATCCTACTCTGCCTAGCTGTGACCTTGATATAAGAGCTTTAAATCATAGTGGGCGAGGAGGGCCTCAGAGAATTTAACTACACTTGTGAAGTGAGAGAACTGTGGAGTTGGACTCAAGAAGTGTTGGAAGGGATCTGTGATTTTGGCCATCTTTAGTTTTCTACTTGGGGAGGAGAGTGATGGGTACATAAATGATCAGATGATTAGGTTTCTTAATGTTTAGTTGCCTCTTATTTCATGGAGAAAATGACTCCATAAGGTGACAGGTGTGTGTATGTGAAGGAATTGTGCGTGTGTGTGTGTGCTTGTGCGTGTGTGCGTGCGTGTGTGTGTGTGTGTGTGTGTGTGTATGGGGGGGTAGGCTGAGATAGGCAAGGACAGTGAAGAAGAGATGAAAAACAGAGAGATACACAAAGGCAAATCAGAACCCAGAAAGAGTAATAGAGAGATAAAGACAGTCTAGAAGCGCAGGAATTTACACAGTTAACATTCCTTTTCCAAGTGCACAGCATGCCAGGCCTGGGAAAGGGCATTCTCCACGTGAAGCTTGCACTGCTCTTGAGTTTTGATTGGGAGGATCCATGATAAGGAGATGTCCCCCAGATAAATACCTGTCATCACTTTTAAAAGGGGTTTTATCTCTATCATAATTTTCCAAGACTGTCCGAGAGGGAATGTATTTTTGCATTTCCATTTGAATCACAATGCACTTTTGAATGTCAGGTGAAACATTCTTAGACTGCTTTTTTTAAGGAGTTTTTGGCTGTTTGAAAGACAGATTAGGGGGTTGCAGTGCGGAGAGAAGAAAGGAGAGATGTAGTCAAATGTCACCTCCTCTGCCCCTGGCCAAGGGGCAGATGTGAGCTGGGGTACTCTCTGGAGCTTTCCATTCCCTGGGGGAACTTGCTTCAAAGACAGCAACAGACATGAAAGGACTTGTTCT